ATTTTGGTTTAGACCTTCTGCAATACTACAATCTATAAAATAATATTATTGAATTACAATGCCCATTAAACTAATTTTTTACTTAAATTAATGAAGAAATTGATTAATTAAAAAATCAAACTTAAAGTCTATATTAACAAAGCCAGATTATAGCTCAGATTATAGCTTCCGAAACTGAAAACTTAGATTAAGATTTAAAATTATTAATTGATGAAAAGAGTGATTTATTAACGTCACAAGAATATGATTAATAGTTAAAAAAATAAGTGCTATTTTAACTTAAATTGACTGATTAATCAAGAAAATTACAAGACATTATTTCAGAATTTGACAAAATATCACAATAATAGATATTTTATTTAAATTAAAACTATAATAAGTAATGAATGTTTCGATATTTAAAAGAACCCTTAATCCTAAGTAATTTTTATATTAATTTAGGATACAAAAGCAAAAGAGTATTTATGTAAAAGTCATTAAGAAGGTATAGAATTGCTTTTAATTGATGAAAAAAATAAAGTTTAAAAATTTGCTTGTATTTAATGTGTATCAGAAAAATAAGGAAGATATTTAACACTTGAGTAATTGGAGTAGTCGTTTAGTGATTACTAATAATAATCAGAAAAGTCATTAAGACATTTTTAATAATTAAAGAATCAATAAATAAGTAACAGCATTAGCATGTTAAGGCAAGCTAAAGAAGACTATACATAAAAAATAAATCTATATATTAAATAATTAGAGGAAAGTTCAAAGTCTTTTGAAAATATCATTCATTCAACTTTATAATTTAAGGATCAAAATATATTTAAATTAGAATAAGACCAAGTATTACAAATATTAGAACCAGTATATTTGAATCAAAGTCCAAATCATTATTTTTAAATAATAAATAATTCATTAGAATAGGATAGCCAGTTGTATATCAATTTTGAATAAAGTATGAAAGAGTTGATTACACTTCAATTTCAAAATTCAAACCAAATCTTTCTAGAATAATTAAGGCAAAGGTTTTTATTGAAGTCACTTGTAAATAAGATTAAAGAATAAAATGAAAATAATAAATTTGATTATCTTATATCAGGTGATAGTTGTAATCAAGCTAACCTTATTTTTGAAAATTAAATAAATATTTTTCTGTTTAATAAAATGCAAATGTGCATACAATATGAATAATTTGTAAAAAATTTTGAAAATCGTAATAAGCTATCTTTTGAATAAGTCCAATTGAATTAAAATTTAACAGAAGAATAAAATAAATTAAAATAATAATATAATAATTGTGAATAATGGAATGAAATTTATAAAATGAATTTAGAAAAGAAAATTATCTACTTAGAAAGTTTAAAGACTAAAATTAATTCAATTAATTTTTGCAATCAAATATAAAATGAAATGTAAATTTAAACTGATGAAACAATATAAAGCATGGAACAAAAAATAAATTAGGTTTTCTATTAATTTTATTTTTAGTATGAGGGAAAGATCTTTCAACTTTAAAAGGAAAAAGATAATTTAAACCATCCAATAAAAATTAAATGTAATTAATTTATACTTACTAAAAAAATTAGAATAAACTTCTATCTAACCTCAATCATTGGCAGTTAAGTAAACAAATCGTATTCAAAAAGGTTGAAATTACTTAATATTAAAAATTATTAATTCTATTCTCATGTATTTTCTTTTCATTAAATGACTTTGATAAATTTCTTTCTTATAATTGAGCTTAAGTGTCTTAAATATTATTCCCAGTATTTTCACTGGTATATTCAATCTAAGCAGTTTTATTGTTGTTGATAATAAATGAATTTTTCTTCGTAATTTTCATCTCATCTTAGTTACTCTTCCTTTTATATATTGATAGGAAATACTCTTCTCCCCATCTATTTCTTTTGAGTTATCCTATAATCCATTATATTGCTACTATACAAATTAAAGTTTTTATAATTTTGTATAAAGTTGAACCTGTTTAAACAAAAAAGATGAAAAAGACTGACTCATTCCAGTGTTATAATAAAATCATTACATTATAAATTTACATAAATAATCATCATTCAAATATTGATTAAAAAATGCAATGTTTTTAATTAATCATCGAATTATTATCAGTTGAATGCGTTAATAGTAAATTATTTAATAATAGTAATAAATAGTACTCAAAAATAATAGAAATTGATGTTAAATGTTGTAATAATAAATGTTATCAATTTTTTATCACATCAACAAATTTTAAACTAAGTATTCTGCTACAACATTTGAAAAACAACTATTTATATTAAATTAGCATAATAAATTTAAACACTTAAGGTTATTTATTATATTAAGGATTACTACTGTTTGGTTTTATTCCATCAATGAAATTCTGCTTATATATAGTTTGAATCTTTCATTAATATTTATTTCTAGCAGTAGCATCACAATTTATTTTTATTATAGAAATTTACTGTTATTTTTATTCAGCTCCTCCTTTTTCAATTTTTAAGAATAATCATAGTTGCATATTATCTTTAGCATTTGGTTATACCATCAAATTCTTATGACGAAGATAATTATAAATTCATTCTTTTAGGGTTTTTAATCTAAAATCCCTTTAATGAAGCATCTATTCATACAAATAATTGTGGAGTAAATACAGTTTTTGGAGGATATGAGTGATTTGGATTCAACATATATACAAAAACATCTATAATGAAATATTTAATATTGCCACCTCAATACAAGATGCTTATTGATATAAATTTTGGAAATTTAATAAATTTAGAATATTCATATTATTTATATATCTTAAGAATTGATGATTGGCCACACAATATTTTTACATAATTATAGATTTATTGACTCAATCTTGGTATTTTCTATCGAATACAGGATCAAATTAATTAATGTGGTTGTTCTGGTACACACTATGATACTCCATAATATAATGAATTTACTCTACATACATTAAATTCAAAAATTGTTGAATTATACTCAGATTTTAATAACAATATATTTTATATATTTTTAATAGCTTAAGAACTTTTGGAGTCTACATTTATTAATGATATCTGTGATCTTGAGAGATCAAGAATCAAAAAGAATAATCAAATATTTGAATTTAAATATCACTTATCTTGCGAAATATATGAATAAGGAAAATGAAATAAATGTTTTGCTAAAAAATTTCCTTTTTTAAGCAACTAATGCATCTCTCAAATTACGAAATGTTACTTTTTTTTGAAGTTAAAATTCATATGACCCAAACAAAAATTGGATTCTATAAATGTAATGATAGTTGTAAGATTTAATGTTGGAACCTATTGCTTATCTTGTGTTGATGGTTGGTAACTTATATGGTATATGCATATAGATTAGTGGAGATAATTTGATAGCAATTTAATCTTAAGAACAATACGATAAAGATTGGATGATTGTATTAATTGTAAATTTGTATATCCAGAAAATTTTTAAATAGCATTATTCCTTTATAATGTTTGAAATGTCATTAGTCTTTTATTAAGATAAAATCATCATTGTTAGTTAACATTTATAGAAGGATGTAAGGAATGTATTTAAGGGTTTTTTAGATGCTGATTTTACAAATGGCGAAATGAATATTGATGGTATTTGCTATTTAATTTGTGGTGATGGGAATCAAATTTGGTTTGATGGATGCTTTAATTGTAAATTTTCATCTTATCAGAATTGTGTTATTTTTTTGAGGGAATTAGTTATGAATGTTAACAATTCTATAAATTGATTAATAGTGCATTTTATGATGACAACAAGAATAAAATCTAAAAATGAATAATTTGATAACGTCAATCTTTTGATGGAAATTGTAAGATTGAAGTTGATTATAAGTGTTAAGAAAAACTTATAGTTACTTTGAATGCCAATATTCTGAATCTTCTTAAATTATTGTCAATTCTTAAATCAAACTAATATTAAATATTATCTTGAAATTTCATTAACTTAAGCAATCTTATTTAGGTAAATTTATGTTTTGGAATTTCCGTTTGTTTTTAGTATTGATGAAGTACACAATGAGGATTATTAAATCAAATTATAATCAAACGATTTATTAATTAAATTCTAAACTTGTAATTTTAGGTATAAATGGAATTTTTAATCTCACCTAATAATAATTTAGTTTAGTGTAATGTATTGCTTATAAATGAAGCATGTAATTAAGATGAAATTGAATTAATGAATCCATCTGAGAAAATATACTTTAAATATATTATCTAATGAGTTCTTCTAAAACAGAACAGACTAAATAACTCAGTCAATATTAAAAAGTAATCATAATTACCTATGGGATTAGTAGTTTAATAATGTTAATTTCTGAAAATTTCTTAATTCTTGTTGAAATATAGAAAAATAATATTTATCCTGAAAATTTATACCTTTTTTATTGAATCCACTAATTTAATAAGCATTATTCCAATTTTTGAATATTTATAAATTTATGAACTCTTTCCAAAATTAAAGTTTTATAATCTAAATGCTCATTTAATTGTAATGATAATGTTATTTATAAACTCATAAGTTTGAATTAAAATTGCTGATAAAAGTATTCATAAGATGTAATTTTTTTCACTTTTCTGTATGTAAAAAAATGTACTTAATATATGTTGCTTTTAAAGTATTTTTATGTTTTGTAGCATTCTCAAAAAATGAAATTATTTAGAGAATGTAGAATATCTTTTCTTATTTGACTTTAGCAGCTGCAGGAATATTTATCACATCCTCATTAAAGTGTGGGTTTTCAAGAAAAGAATATAGTTTATTTGGAAATACAGAGCTGTTTACTAAAATAAAAAATTGTTTTTTTGCAATTTCTTGATTAATTTTCAAAATCATTAATTGATTCAAATATATTAATGTTAACCCATTTCATATTTCTTATGAGTAAAATTTATTCAACATTATTTTTAAATTCTAATTCATCAAATAAAAAAAAAATGATTTTATAATTTCTGATTAATTTTTATTTGGAGTAAATAGATATTGATCTGTCAATATTAATTTCAGTTAGGCATCCATATTATGTGAAGTGTTAATTATTAGTTTTATTTTTCAATTTTTCTAATGATATTTTAACTTTTATTTACATATAAACTATTTATTAAAAAATGAAATATAGAGAAAAAACTATTATCTTCAAAATTAAAATCTTATTGGTTTGATAAAGAGATTTTGATGTTCATTTTCTAAAAATGAAATAATTTACTGATTTCATGAAATTATTAATCTTACCGTAATTAAGGAGGTTTCATAATAATTATAATCAATATATGAATAAATAATAAACTAAGCCAAAAAAAAGGAATGATCTTAAATTCGCATATTAACTTAAAAAGGCACATAATATATACATAGAATATCATGTTTTTTAATCAAGTTAAAGAATTATTTCAAAAAAATTATGTTAAAAACTATTTAAAGTATTCTTAGTAGAGCTTGAAAGTTATTCGATGAATTAGAAGACCAAGATTTTATTTCCTAAATTAAATTTTAGTATAATATATATTATTATTCTGAAATATATAATTGAAACATTTTTATTGTTGTTAATATCAATAATATTGTAATCTAATTCTACCAATTTATCATCATTTACAATTATTGTTCATATTTTTCATGGTTTATATAAAATTTCAAATCTAATGTTCTTTGATTTTTTATCTAATATATTAATGTTAAGTTCAAAATTTATTTACAATTTTAGATAATTAAGTAATAAATATTTAATGATATCAGTCGTAGTACTTATAAATATTTATAGATTTGGAATAATTATCCCATGTAACTAAATAGGTTCCATTTTCATTTAAAGCAACCTAAGCAGAAGAATCTTAAAATTGCAATTAAAACTCAGTCACAAAATAAGGATCATCTTATATTTTAATAAAATTCAATGATACTCCATCTTTATTTAAGAGTATCTACTTTTCTTTTATATAACTTTGATTGAATTTCCTAGAACCCCAGTTGCCATAACTTTAAATATTGAGTTCTCTCAATTTAATTAATTAATTGTCTTGATTCTTAAATTTGTACAAATCTAATTTTTTGAATGTGAATTAGACTACAAATGAATCATTTCCAATAAAGCTTATTCCTTGTCCTAATTTACCTATATTAATATTTTATAACTTCATCCACTATGTTCCTCTTTTGATAAATGTAACTATACTCTTGTTATAATCTGATAGAATCAATTTATCTCCTATTTCATTAAAACTTACAGCACATATTCTGATATTATTTGTATAAAAATATTCAAATTACAATAAACTTTATTTGATCCAAAATGATACTTTCCAATCATCACATGAAATTATAGAATCTGAATATTTACTAGATTTTAAATGATAGATTGGGGATAGATGATAATTTAATTTTTATATGTATTTTCCTTGATTAATACCTATTTTGCTTGATATTTATAATTATCCATTAAGCATTGCAAATAAAAAAAAATTACCTTACTTCAAAGATTCTATGCAAGTGACTGTGGATTTAGTAATTTAAAATAGAGAGATGTAAATTAATTTTTCATTATTAAATAAGTAAGCCTTCAAAATCATCCCAAAACTAGCCATAATCAAAGTTGAAGTGTTATCAAATGCTAAGGAATTACATTATTATTTTTAAATTAATTATGTTTAATCTAAAACTTCATACCTAAACTATTTTTGCTCTTTTACAACTAATGTGCATTCTTCTGAAAAACCAGAAATATTAGTTTGCATTATTATGATTAATATTTTTTAATTGTAATATATATAATATTTAAAATAAAATTATAATTCTCTATTAAATTTACAATTTAATAGAGATAATTCTATTTTTTACTAAAGTCTAATCAATAATCAAAACCAACTTTGATTGATGTAATGGAACAACTATTATAAAATAAATTAAACAATGTTATTAATTCTAATATTTTATTTTACCTCTTCAGAATATATATTGATAATAGTATAATTGATCAATTAAGATAAAACTGCATGTTTCATATAAATCAAAAATAGAGTAATTATCTTTCATTGTAAATTTTCATTCTTGACATTCATGTCAATTAATAAAATTTAATATTTATAAATTATTATCATTTTAACAAAAGAGCAATGTTATCAGTTTTACTCATCTGCAGGAAATTCTGATATAGTAACTGGAAGTTCAGGAAATTTGGGCTAAGTTCTTTCTATAAGTTTAATTTTTATCTAGATCTTTCTGCATTTTATGATCAAATAAATTAGAGTAAATGAGATTAATGAAAATATAGCTGAAATAATAATAAAAATTGTTCCACTGTCATCTTTATCAGTTGACTCTGAATCAAATATTTGATTTTCTATTTTACACTCATCATTTTAAGTGTTGAGAGTATAACCCTATGAGCAGGTTAGACACTAATTAACATCAAAGCATTTTTAGCATTAATTGATATTACAAATAATTGAAACTTTATGGCAATAATCATCATTTTAAAGAATGTATTCTTATTCACATTATAAGCATTAACCCTCATTACAAGTGATACAATTATTTGGACATTTAATGCATTTAAGATCAACCAATTAATATGAGTCTTGGCAAATTAAGCAATTATTAGAAGATGAACATGTTAAACAATTTTACATACATTTTTCACACATTTCATTATTTAAATAATAACCATTTTCACAGATAGTACATTAAGTAAGTGTAGTGCATTTTAAACATGGAAGAACACATTATTAACACTTTCTCTCTTCTGTTAAATAGTAATAATCAGTACAAACTAAACATACATCTTCTTAACATTATTTGCATCCCTGCTCACATTTTATACATTGATATACAAAATCACTTATCTCAGATAAATAATATCCATCTTCACAAAGAATACAACTTTTTGTTTAAACTTAACATGACTTGCATCCTATATTACATTTTTCACATTTCATTTCTGATGTTAAAAAGTATCCCTCAAAACAAGAGGAACATTGATCACTTGATTATGAGCAAGATTAACATATAGAATTGCATTGATGACATTCTTAATTTCTTAAATAATATCCTATTAAACAAGATTAACATTTGTAAAGATCATCCTTAAAGTGATTGCATGTTTAACAAAATCGATTGCAATTTTAACAATTTTAATCTAAGCATTGATAACATAGGCCATTTAATAATAAAAATCCTGAATTGCATGAAGTACAAAAAGTGCTCATATTTTTACATGTTTTACACATAGAATCACATTAAAGACATTTATTATTATTTTGAAAATAGAATCCATCTATACAATCAATACATTCTTCATTTGAATAGCACTTATTACAAGGAGATTTACATCTGAAACTATTAATTTGATTTAAATCTGTAATTCCATTATCAATATAATATAATTGATTAGAGATTGTTAAACAAAATTAATCATTCAAACAAGTATTACAAGGAAACTTACACTAAATACAAATTTCTGATTTCTCATAATATGTTTCTTCACATTTGATACATGTTTATTATTCTTTACAAATTATACAATTCTATATGCAAGAGTCACAAGAATTGCTTATGGTATTATAATACTATTTATTTACAAGACAAATAGGGACTTCAATTATTTTATCTTCGATACAATTCCCATTATTTAATTTATATCCATTCTAACATTATAAACATAACTATTTATTGCAACTTATGCATTAGTTTTAATAAAGTTAGCTACAACTTTGACATTTCCCATTGTTTAAAATATACCCTAATGAACATTCCAAACATGATTCTTCATTAGTACAATTTGTACAATATTCTTTACATCTTTAACATTCAAATGGGATGTTAATATATGTGGGATAAAATCCTATTTAACATTACTCACATTAAATGAAATTTTTGATAGTATCAAATATACATGCATCTTTACAATATAGCGGACATTCTATAAATTAGAATATTTATTATACCATAGCATTATTAATTTAATAAATAATGATTTTGTTAGCAACTAGTGCATAATGGATTCTCATCATAATAGCAAGTCTTACATGATGTTGGACACTAAGCACAATTTTGATGTTCTTTAATATAATAATGTTATTCATCTATACAAGAGAGACATTTAGTTTAACTTAAACAAGTTAAGCAAGGAAATTAGCATTATTTGCATTCAGAAATATCCAGATAAAATGAATTGGAAACACAATTAATGCAAGTTTATTAATTTGAACATGTTTAACAATTAACAGGACATGGATAACAAAATAAATCAATATCTTTTCTATATTATTTATCAAAACAATCTTGACATTAACATTCATTCAAGAAATCTAGACAATTGTTAATACATTTTAATGCAATCCCATTTTAAATATAATATCCTTTCTGAGATTTTATACAATAATTCTAATCTTAACACAGAATACAGTTCTCATGACATTAAACACATTAATTATCACTTAAGTAATAACCATCTTTACAAATATTACATTGATCTTTTAAATGACAGGATTTACAATTTTATGAACATTCAATACATTAATTAAATTCATCTAGTTAATATCCATCCATGCATTTTAAGCATAAACAATTCTAATCATATTAATCACATTTGTACTATTCCTAAAATTCTTAACAAGTCAAACATTAGCTATTACTGAGAATGAATTCATTTTTACATTTTGTACATTCTTTCTCATTTATACAGGTTTGACATGTTTAATAACATTATAAACAAATATTCTTTTGAATATCTAAATAATAATTTTCCTAGCATCTAATAGAATGATCTGCCAAGAGACATACTTCTTTAGTACAAGTTATGCAATCATCAGGGCATTACAATTAACAAATGTTATTATATACATAATATCCATTTTCATTGTCACATAAGCATTCTTTATTTTTCAAAATATAATTAGGCTAACATTTCTATATTATAAGTTCTTATCCATTATAAAAGTAATCTAAACTATTAGATGGTCTCTACAATAAAATATACAATATATCATTTATTATTTCATCTAACTAGGATTCTAATAAGAAATTATTAAGCTCATATGCTAGATAATAACATAATGCCATTTTTCCTTCTTTTGTTTCTAACAAACGATTTTGCTTATCGTTGTTGATATTTTTATTTTCTAACAATGCAATCTATAAAAAAATATTTCCTTCATATTTTTATAATAGGAATTGAAAAATTACAAATTCCCATATACTTTAATTTAAAATTCTAATTCCTGAATATTAATTGTAATTTATATAATTAACATTAGCAGCCCAGATCATAGTTGATTCATGATTGAGCATAATTCCAAAAGCAAACAAATTATCAAATTTTTACATATAAGCTTGTCCCTGTGGATATGGTGTTGTTGTACTAATAATTTTATTTGACTCTAATTTTGAAACTAATTAAAATTAATTGATGCCATCATTTACAATTCCTCTCTAAATCATATAATCTAGTCCTTCAATAGTCATTTAAGAGTATGTGTTTTTGTTTTATAATCTATTTACGTATTATTCTAATGATAATATATATTCAAATTGAAGAATTTATTAATTGAATTGTATGTCTAAATAGAATAACCAAAAATACTTTAACAATTATATGTATACCACACTTCAATATACCCTTCTTTGCATATACAAGTTTAATTACTATCTAAAACTCTATAAGTAAGCTCTTCATTCCCACAACTAATACATTTAGATGGATCATTTGGATCACAATCCATACAATTAGAAGGACATTCTAATTTTTTTTTTATAAATTACACAAACACTCTTATCCTCCTATATCCACAAAATTTTGTTTGCACAGACATACGTTTGCGTTGGCTCCTTTTTCAACAACAAAGCTCAAATTTCTTGTCGAGGGACAACTAGAACAAAAATCTTAATTAGTATCACAAGTTTGACAATGATATTCACCTAATTAATTAAAAAGCAATCTACATGATTATATTAGTTTAAAAGTAGCAAATAAAAGAACGATCATATAATTTGTTAATTAATAATTTAATCTTTAGAGTTTTTAATTTGGTTATGTAAAGAGGGTTTTATTTTATTTTATTTTATTTGATCTTGTTGATTTTATAAATTGATGCTTGAATAATTTAAATTAAATATATATATATATATATTTAACATGACTAATCAGGTAATGATTGAATCTTAAGATGGAAACTACGATGGCAAAATCTAACTAAATCTTATGTTTTTGTTTGATGATGTTGACATTTTCTTTAAGTGTAAATTATTCCTCAATTATATCATTCTTAATTTATTCTTTATTCTTTTAAACTTATTGCTTTTCTCTATAATTGCTTGATTCATCCTATTGCGTCTTAATTTGAGATACTTGAGTATGTAATTGAAAGGGAAAAACATAAATTTTTATAGCTTATCTATGATATCCTTTTGCCAAGAATGTATATTTTTATTCACTACATCAATTATCTATTGAACATTATGATGAGAAAAAAAATAGTCATAATTTTTTAACACTTCAAAGTTATCTATTGTTTTTTGATTTAATTTCCAAAATAGAGGTTCAATTTGACTTAAAGCTTATTTGACAATAGGCTCATCTTGATCTTACTTTACTAATTTATTATAGAGAAGAATGATATTTTCATTTTGATAATTCTGAAATTCTATTGCCATTTATTAATCTTCTAAATCTTCATCCTAAATATATCTTACTGTGAAAGTAGTTGTAGTACTCTTTTTTATTTATTTATTTTATGGATGAAGAGTCATCTTCCTAATAATTCTACCTTAATTTAATTATTATCTCAATTCTCCTTTGAGATCAATATCTGTTTCTCTTATTAAATTTTTTTGAATCCTAATGCTGCTTAATAAATCAGCACAAGCTGTTGATTAAGGAGGAAGGCAACCTTACTACACTTATGGAGTTAATTTAATATTATCATTAGAAGGAGGAGGCTCAACAGAATTTGAATCAAATAAATCAGATTCATGATTAAGATAAATTTTGAGTTATTAATTAATTATGACTTAATTGTCACTTGAAAATACTTTTGCAAACTCTGCAACTAATTCCTTTTCTGATAAAGCTAAAAATACATTTTTTGATGTTCTTCTTGTAAAAGAAGATCTCAATTAGTATTTTGAATGTTAATATCGTTTTATTACTACTTCTCTGTTCGATTTTAATTAAATATAAGGACATTGAGCCAATGAGTGTTCAAATTGTTAACAAGCAGGACAATAAACACTCTTTGTTAAAACTATAGAATCTAAGTTTAGTATTATTGAATCTTTCAATTAACAGTATTTTTAAAAATCTTCTGGAAAATCCTTGAGAGTTTATAAGAAGTCTTATTTAGATAAAACTAAGAGACTGACATATCCAACAGCTTTGAATAGTTCCATTTCAGGATCTTCAATTATAAATTCTTTAACACAAAGAAATTCTCCTAAATTTATTATAGTATTCATTTTAGATCTTTGTTTTGAATCTTTATGCTAATACAACAAATGTCCTTATTCAATAAAACATAGATGATGTTAACCATTAAAATCAATTTAAAATGTATTTTCTGGGGGAATAACTTAATTTTTACAATAAATATAATACTTTTCCTTTTAATACTCTTGAATAGAGCATTTCTGAACTCTTCACTAAAAAATTATTACAATAGAATAGATTTCTCAATAAATACCTTATGAGCTTATTTGTCTAATTCTTCTTTAAGTTCATCAGATAGTTAATCTAATAATGCTTATTCTATTTCTAAGTCTACTTCATCATCTTCTTTCCACCTATAAGTTAAGTATTCCTTGATTCTAAAAATAAGATGATAATTTATACTAATGTTAAAGAGCAAAAGGAATATTTCTTTTTGTCATATACTTATTGATAACTCTCATCTTCTAATTTCTTTCAACTTAATTTTGAGTGATGTCATTCATAATACCTCCTATGAAATTAACACTATACGAAAACCATAAACATGCTCCAAGGATGAATATGATTGTAACTATTTTCTCTGTTGGATTCTTAGGTACATTATCACCATATCCAATTGTCAACATTGTTACAATTGCAAAATACAAGGCTTCCAAATATTATAATTGCCAAGATTTATCAGTTAAATCCTTAAAATCTATCCAAGAATCTTCTATTTACAAACTTGAGATCCAAAACCAAACACAACTAAACAGATGTAAAATATAAAACAAAGTAGCTACAAACTTTAATAAACCCAATATTCCTCTTTAAGGTCTTGTAAAATATGAGAGTTATTCACTTTTTGAGAGTATTTCATAAACATAAGAATATTGTGTTAATGTAACTAATGTGAATAGGTTATAGTACTAATCTTATGGTTCAATAGATAAAAATATTATCATTATCATTATTGATAAAAAGTCTATTAGCATTGATTTTTTAGCCTAATATACAATTAGTCTCCATCTATCTCTTATAGCTTATCCATTTAAATATTACTAAGTATTTATTCTAATCAAGAAATCCATTATAAGAATTATTATTATTATTACAGTCAAAGCAAAATTGCTTTCAAACATTATTTTTGTCTTGAATGCCACCTCTAAAGGTATTAAAACAACTAATATAATCCGAAATACGACTGCAAATAAATCCCAATACATCTTAAAAACTGATTCAGATTATATTAAAGGGATTTTATTAATAAAATTTTATAAAATTTTGATTGCCTGCTTTTTCATATTTTAGTAGTATTGTTTCATTGTTTCCATTTTTGTTTCCTCAATAGACGATTCCATCTTTAAAAGTTTTTTCATTGCTTTCAAAGTAAACCCTGCTCGTTGAATTGACTTTGTATATTGCAATACTACATTACTATAATAAAACTCCATATTTACATGTCTGCTGCTTTATCACCAATCAAATTCAAATGAGTAAAATTCAATGTCTCAATTATTCTTCTCTTTATTTACAGTTTCTCCAAAAATCGCTTTATCAAAAAGAACGCCATCATGCTTGAACCAGTTGAATGCTATTTATTTGTAGGGGTATTTATCAATGTTCTATTTGTCTCTGGAGTATTCTACTGGATACTCTTTAAAGTGATGTTTTCCATCTTCTGACCATTTAAATCATTGAACCCCTCCATGCTCTTGATACTCTAAGTTTGGCTATATAAATTTGGACAGTTAATTGAAGTTTCTCTCTTTGTTGTACGTAAGCAAAACCCTAAATATTATTATTCAAAGTCTTCATGCTATTCAGCTTAAAGCTCTTAATCTAAATCCATATTGAATCCGGGAGATTCGAATTGCATTATTTATTATTTATTATTAATAAGACTAACTCAAACCTAATTATTAATTTTATTCACAGAATTAATATTACTCAAATCAAAATAATGTATTATTTGATTCTGCGATAGTTCAATTAATCCTTATGAATCTTTCTTTCTAATAAAATATCACAGACAATTAATTGTAAATAATCTTGATTTATTATAGTATAATCGTAAAATTTTATACATAAACTATGGAAAATGATTCATA